AAACTAATCTTTGTTTTCCACGGGAGATGTTTTTTCAATAATTTCTACGAGCTAAAGGACTTCATTAAGAATCATGCAAGCATTGATCCAGATGTTAAACCTCTCTGTACAATGGGAAGCCCTCTTAGAAAGCAGTAAAGAATAATTGGTCCATTGTTATCTGGTCTTGAGAAAAGAGAATAATATTGCCTATTTACTAAATGTTACTAAATGGAGGAATTTATTTTATTGTGTGCATGCAATTAATTATAATGGTTTTGTTTAATCAAAGTATAGGTAAACATTTAATTTCAACCTATTGTAGCACTGAATTTCATTATTGTTTCTAAATCTTGTCCAAAGAAAAGCTTAACACATGAAAAGTGAGAAGAGCTCCTTTTTAAATAACCAAAGCTAAGCAAAAGTAATATTTCTCAGTTGTTCCCTTGTGGACTTTTCTTTAGTTCTTATTTTTATACTACTTTTCTATCAGCTTTCACCTTGAAAAGTGATAATATTTTAAAAATAACTCTTAGGCTGAAAAACACAAGCACACAATGTTCAGCAGGGCTGCAGCAGAGACTCAAGGCAGTGTGAGGCCATGATTCTTGCACACTGGATTGTGATGTGTCTGGCAGCCACCCACCACCAGTGGGATCCTTCTCTTAAACAGAGAAGGTGGTCCACCAACCTCTTTAAGGGTCCCTGATCCCTTGCTGAAAGTTACCTTTTCAGAAAGTGGGGAATCCTTTCAGTGTGAGGGTCTGGACATGTTCACTCCTTGGAACACAAGATTTTGTCTGAAGATGTGCTTAAAAACCATAAGGGACAGTATGGCCAGAGTCCAACATCTAGATTTGATACTAGATGTATCAAATCTAGATCTAGAATCTGAATTTGATACTAGATGTATCAATTCTAGATCTAGAATTTAATTTAGATGTAGAATTTAATACTAGATGTATTAAATTTAGATAATCTAGATTTGTACTAGATGTACTCACTTTCATCTTCACTGCTTCTGTATTAAAAAAGCAGTAGGATAATATATTTAAATGTAATGAATGAGAAGATTAGGGGTCTGAACAAATGCAAAAGAAAGCAAAACTTTTTGTAATTTGTAAAACTTGCCAGACTCTTACTCTAACAGGCACTTTAGAAATGCTTATTAGCACAGGCAGAGAGAGACAGGAGGGAAAATGGTATAGATTTAGAAAGGCTATAGATGTAATTATGGGTGTCCTCAGAGCCTGACATATTAGGCAATTTTGGAACTAATTCCTAATCGAAATCCTTTTAATGAAACATATTAATGAAATCCACATTGATATTATTGTTGGGGTATAAGCACAAATTCACTTAAAAGAATTACTTCCATGCAAACTGTTTTTCCAATTTAATTTGGAGCTGCCTGAATTTACTGAAAAGTACAAAATTGATTGATTTCTAAAGATCACATCTTGTAGAAAATGGCATTGTTCTGTCTGGGGAAGGAATTTGCCATCATTTCTCTCAAGTTTTTTCAGGGGTTGGATCAATGCAGCTTCAAGCAAGAGCCTTGACTCTGGCCCTTTTCCTGGAGAGGTCTCTGGAGCCTGGGCTGGGCCTGGTGAGGGCAGTGCTCTCTCTCTCTCTATCTGTGGAACACAGCTCAGGCTGCAAGCAGGACCATGCTATTCCTTCACAGACAATAGAAGCACATTTAAAAATTCTGTAGTTAATCTGGCCTTTTAGATTACTTTTAAAAGTGTTTTTTTAGGTGAAGGCAAAGCAAAGACAGAAGAAGCCTTAAAAATTCTGTTAGGTTTTGGGTTTGGGGAAAGATAATTTGTTTGTGATCAGACTATCATCACTGTTAAATTTGAATTCTAAGCCACTTCTAACTCATGCAAAATAATGGTAACTGCTGATAACTATCAAAATCTAAAGGAAACCCATTAACACTTGTCCCATGTCATGTCTAACAGGAAGAAATAGTATTGGGAATGCCTTCATACATCAGCAGTGCCACAGTAGATGCAGGGAGCTTTATCACTCAAAAACCAGCTCATGCAAATACCATGAAATGACCAGGACAGCCTTCAAAAGTGGCTGAGTGATGAACTCGGGTATCTGAAGTCAGGCTATCAAACACCTCACTGATGACAACACCCAGAGAGAGGCTGTTCATGTCACTGGCAAGCTGTCAGCACATCCCTATGTCCCAGTAACACGAGTCACCCTCCTGTGCACTAGGGGAAAGAATCATTTTCCAGCCCCCACTGTTAAAATACAAACCCCAACCAGAACCTCAGCTGTGTCCTCTTTACACCTGTAGATCTGCCATGGAATTCACACAGGTACCAGCAGCTAAAGCAGTAAAAAACTCTCTAAAAAATCCAACTCTCTATTGAAAAATGGTTTTCTGCAGATGACATAGATCCTGTAAGCAGTTAAGAAGCACTTACTAGAACATGCATTTGCAAACAGTATTTCTGAGCTTTCGGAAATATTCTTGATTGTAGTTCTGCCCTGTGTAGTAGGATGTGGGTATGTTATAAACTGCTAGGATAGGGTTATGAATATTATGTTTTACTATTCAATATAACTCACTTCTATTTTAGGTTGCACACTTACACACATGTTCATTTTCAGCCTGCAAGCAGTCATCCAGAGACAGCCCCTGCCTTAGCTTATCAGCTGGGGCTGATGCTTGATTCACCTGCCAGTGCCCTACTGCCACTTGTGGTTTTTTTGGTTATTACAATAGGCTTTCCAGCTTCCACAAAAAAGAAAAAAATTCACCTGACATCTACTTTGAAAGAGAAAAGCACATTTTTTACCATAAGAAATACAAAAAACCCCCCTTCTCCACTTCAGATATATAAACTGAATTTCTATTAAAACATTTTCTTCACCTGACATAGGGAACTGCAGCCAGAAGGGATATTGATTGCTCTGTACAAATGCTCTAGTGTTGGTTTTAACAATACTGTCAGCCCGCTTCACCAATCATGCTAATACATTTAGCAAAACCCCATCTGTAGTCTGTCATTTACACAACCACTACACATTCACTATTTTAAATTCTCATTCCATCACATTTATACGGTTACCTCCATAGTCCCCCTCACAGCACACAGATTGCCACATCCATTTGAATTTCTGAAGCAGGCAGAAAAAGCCTGAGGCAAGGATTTTAGTGGAGCCACACATACACCCCTACAAACTCCTTTCCCTTTTATTGGAAACCCAGCTTCACCCCTCCATCTCCAGCAGCCCATAGACACAGGATTTGCTGAGCAACAGAGCTCTGCCACTCTTGCTTTGAAACTGAATGTTGGGCTCCTTGACTCTGCCAAACCAGCCCATGTTCAGACCCAGTCCCTTGGTGGGAAGGGACAGGGACCCTGCCCACCTCTCCTGTCACTCCCACCCTGCACCCTTTTCTTCCTGTGCCACATGACAGCGACAGTGGCAGTTTCAGAGAATTATTTCCTCTGCACAATCCCTTTGGGAAGTATATGTGTAATCAACATTTAAAGGGGGAATTATTTATAAAACAATCCTTGTGAGGGCTGAGGACTCAGTAATTATTCTGTGCAATTAGTCCCCAAGTAGCATGAGACTGCATTCCCTGGTGATCTGAGCTATGGAAACATTGTGAGTGCCTGAGAGAAAATAGTTCTCTCTAAAAGAGGTTGGCTACAAAAAGCAATCACTTTGCAAAGGAAGGAAAAGGACTGCAGGTAAAAGAGCAAGGAATTTGAAATTATTTTGCTATCTTCTTTTGAGTCCTCTGTCTCTCTGAGGAGAAGCAGGCATCTGCCATGAGGTGAAGGAAGTGCTTTTGCTATGGCAGCCATTGATAAGAGCACAGAAACTGCTACGCAGTTAGACATTATCAAATCAGGACAGAATGCTTTCATGCCCCTAAATACTGCTGCCATCTCCTCTTCAGTGGCAGCCATCAGTCCACAGACTATTTTCCATATTTTTCCATGTGAAAGCTCCATTCTAAACATCTTGGGAAAGAAAGGAAAAGACTGCCTAAAATTTTGTTTGGGGTTTTAAATTAAAATGTGCTCTCCTAGTCTACTTCAGTATTTGTGACAAAACAAGCATAAGCTGAAGCATTTTTTTTCCCTAAGAGGTGAAGTCAACGAATGGTAAATCTTTCTTGCCCCACTGAAGAAATATGGCAAGGGGAATTTAAGAGTGCCATGAGAGCCTTCTAGGATGACACAGAGCATTCAGTGTAATGCCTGCCAGTCAAACGCATGGCATCTGCCCCCTGAGAGCAGGCCCAGCACAGCTTCTGAATCCCTAATCCCTTCTCAAATCAATTTCTAGTCTCCTGTTTGCTCTAATTTAAATTGCTGGCAGAAGTGAAGCATCTCCCCCTGGGGTCCTGCCCCTCCCAGACCTTATCCCCACCACAGAAACCTGAGCTGAGGGCTCAGAGAGCACAGAAAGGGGTGCTTTCCATGTTGGGATGAGGAAGGGTCACAGATAAGCCAAGTGAAACGTGGGTGGCTGTTGGGGAAAATGCATTTTGTGTAAATGCATTTACGAGCATAGATGCCCGTACTTAGATGAGTCGTGCCCTGCTGTTTTCAAATCAGTAATTAGAAAGAGTTGCTTGCATGCAGGATAGACAACATCAGCTCCCTCCACCACAGGCAAGGGACACAAGAAAGATTCAGAGGTTCTTTAAAGAATACTGGTCACTAGATGGGGAAAAATATCCCAGAGGAATACTTCATTCAAATACCCCGAAAATGTCTAATTGACCTTGACAGGAAGTAATGCTGGAGTTAATTAGGATTCTATTAAAACTTAAATCCTGACAGTTTCATCTGTTGCTTCAACTGTCAAGACTTTTATGTTTGAATTTACTTCCAAAAGCCTGCAGGTGATAGTCTGCACTTCGTCACAGTTCACAAGGTAGGTAGAAGCTCAAAGAGAACCACGTCCTTGCAAGAATATTATTTTATCTGAAGTGTGACTAACAGGAAGGTCATGTTCTACCCTTTTTCCTCCCCTCTCTCCCTTAAACACCTTATTTGCTAGAGCTACAGAGATTTAGAAAGAAAAATCAGGGCATCATATAATGATTCATAGCCAAGCACAGCAGAAGCATTAATCATTCACATCTTTAACTCTAAAAGCAGATAAACTTCCAAGGATGATCAGTCAATGCGACGCATTTATATTTTAGCCGGAAACCAGATTTAGAAGTGGAACATCCTGAACTTCTGACCAGAGAACAAAGTATACGAAATGCCACAGAGCCAGTTTCAAAGAGCCCGAATGCACGGCATCTACTCATGTAAAGAGGCAGCCTTTTATATAAGCAAGCCTATTATTTGCAGTTCAGTTCATGGTTCAAGAAAATACCAGGAAAGATGAGCCAGAGGAGCAGAACAGAGCCAAGCACGCTGGGTCTGCCTGTCTCTCTTAACAAGAGAAGCCAAGGAGGGATGCTGATGCTTGACAGAAGAGTTGAAAACTTGGAAGAGAACTTGTGTGATTCATTCTTCTCTCTGAATAGACCTCGGAGATCTTTCTGATGATTCTCACATATGTTTCTAGTGGGTCTTCTGGAATTAGAAATGTTGAAAGAGAAGGCACTGAATGTAGGCTCTGTCCTGGGATACACGGCAAAAAGAAAACATCCCTAGGAAAAAGAAAACCCAGCAGAGACAAATGTGAAGTGCAAGTAATGAGCAGAGGACAGGACACACTGTATGATTTTTAATATGTGTAGTAGCAACTTATAAACAAGTCTGGGTTTCATTGTCTGCAGGGGATGATGCAGCAATAAATGCAGGTGCCAACAATGGGCACTGGAAATTCAACGTGTCCCTTCTGACATTCTGTATCTCCCTTTGTATTCTTTACAAGAAAATGAAATGCCCTCATACTCTCCATATTTCCTTTTACAAAAAACAATAATAGTTTTAATCTGACAAAAGGAACATCTTGGCCCATAACACAGGCTGAATTTCTGTGTAAATTAGAACCTATCAAAACTATTATATATTTATTGATTTCCCAATTATACAAAAGTCTGTAATTAGTACTAGGGGAAAAGGAAACAGAACAGGTGATAGGAAGACCCTGTCAATAACAAAAAAATTAGTTAATAAGAAAACTTTAGATTCTCTTTATAGAAGTAGGTTTTTGGTTAAAAAAAAAAACAAAACACCAAAACACCCACATTTTATAATGTACTGTTTGCATTATTCAGCTTTAAAACCAAAAAATATATTGAAAAAGCAAACTATTTTTTTTCCTTCCTTCCTTCCTTTTCAGGTTTACTGTAGCAGTACAAAAAAAAACAAAACACCAAAACACCCACATTTTATAATGTACTGTTTGCATTATTCAGCTTTAAAACAAAAAAATATATTGAAAAAGCAAACTGTTTTTTTCCTTCCTTCCTTCCCTTTCAGGTTTACTGTAGCAGTAAGTTAACATACCATGAGTCATATTTGAACTCTAAGGCTGTTGTATCTATTTAGCTGTCACAACAGCCACAGTATCTTGTGGGAACAAGGCAACAGGAAAATAATTTTAGAGATAAGAAAAGATTTATTATTTTTACTGTTGATGTGACTTTTGCACAAAATACTAGAAACTGAACTAGGAACAATGAAATTAAAAACAAGTGTGAAAAGGAAGAGCAGAGAAGTGGCTCAGAAGCCTTAAGGAGCGTATTACATTGTTGAAAGTTTGTGTTGGCAGTCTTGAAGAGAAGATCTCCTGGGAGAATTGATACCCCATAAACTGGGGGCAGGGTGAAGTCTGCACGTTTTCTGAGCATGCCCCACTAGCTGGAATTCTTGCTGTTTGACTGCAGCTCTGTATAGTGCCAAACACAGAGGGCAGCATCCCAGGAAAGCAGCACCTTCCATTCTCCAGAGATGGGCCCGTCCCACCCACAGAGGCTCTAGCCACGCTGGCATGATCTATGGAAAGTCAGCTTCCTCCTCTTACTGAGGAGAAACTCCCCCAGGATAACAAAAACCCACTACTACAAGATAAGGACTAGTGGGAAGTCATTTGTTGAGGCTGAGAGCTGCCTTGGCAGCCCTGTCCTGCTGAGGTGGCTCTGCTTCACATTCTAGATAACACTACAATTCATCACTTTTCCTTCTGAGCTGCACTTCATTTATCCCTGCATGGTAAGCTGTCATCTGTGCCCCTTCTTCATTTATAAGGAATAAAAATATGGTAAGATGGTAAATATACCATCTTCTAGGATGTCACTCCATACTTATTAATAATACATGACATGTTAGAATTATTTAAAGGAAAATCAGAAATTTAGCATAACCTTTATCATAAAACTCACCAGAATAAAGGTCAGAATGGTTGGTGCCTGTAATGGTCAGGAATCTCTAAGTAGCAAAGGAATTTAAGACAAATTCTGCCATTTTATGGCTTGGAACATAACTGGAACAAAAAAATCTAGCTCTGAAAGCATGTTATTAACAACAAAGTCTCTTGTTAAAAGTAGGTTTAGAGGTACAACTGTGGGTCGAGCTAAAGATGTGTGGAAGAGGAGTTACACATCCTTTTTAGTTCAGAACCACAGACCAAACTGTAGGTCATTATTACTTTGCAGTACAGGGCATTTTAAACATCTCTGACAATTCTAGGAATTCAAATTTCTAAGATTTAGCCAATGACCTGCATAAGGGCCATTGGTAGTCATTAATTCCAATTAAAATTAACCCTACTCAAACACTGGTGCAGCAAGACAGGATGGCAAGAATGCCAGAAAAAAATCTCATTTATCAAAAAACTAAATCAAAACAAAGTGACATAAAAATTACTTCCCCATTAGCATTTCATATGCCTGAGAGGTGCACATTCAAATATAACTTTCTGCATTTATATGGAAATCAAGATAGCCTCCAACAGAATGGGTTATTGCATTCTGCTTTAATATACTGACCCTTGGCTTTCTGCTGTTATGAGCTTTGTCCCAGATAAGCCTGTGGTGATGAGAATCTGCTCCCAAGACAGAAAAACAGAAAAAAAAAAAAAAAGATCTCCAGCACTTGGGTCACACTGGTAAAAAAAAAACTCCAGAAACTTGCAAAGAAGAGAAGGTGGCTGAGATACCTGTGTGTGAGAGGAGGGATAGGAAAGTACTCTGGGAATGCCCTGAGTGCCAAGGAGCCCTGCCAGGGGAGCCAGCAGCACAATGGCATTCCAGAATTCCCCCTGGGCAAGCAGCCACAGCTGAGCTGATCAACAGCCTCCTCTGCACAGCCACCTTTCTCCTGGGATTCAGAGCAAGAGTCCTTGTTGTGCCTGCCAAGAGAAATCTCCCTCTGATTGCTAAAAGCTCAGATGAGCTACTTCAAAAGAAAATAAGCATTTGTTGTTCCCTCTCTAGCAAAAACATATCCTGGGAGCTCAGGTTTATTACAGACTCCTGTATTTGTGCTGCAGCTCCTGGTAACACCCACGGTGAAAGGGCATTACCATAGAGAGAAGAGAAGCACGGGCAAGCAGACAGAAACCTGAGCAGCACGCTCAGGAGCACTGCAATCAAGAGCTTCCTGCTGTCAGCAGGTATCTCTTGAGTGATTTTCCTGAATTCCTGCTTGGAATTCATCAGGGTGTGATGCCTGGAGAGCAGAGTTGCTAGGAGGGCTGAGCACATGCTGGCAAGCACAGCAGAGGTGAGGAGGATGGGGAGCCCAGCCCTGCCCAGCTCAGGGGCCACAGGCAGAGGCAGCATCAGCCACGAGGAGAGCACAAGGAGCTGCTGAACCCAAATTGCCTGGAAAATCTGCTCCTTCAGCTTCACTCTAGAGCACCACAGGTAATTTCTTTAGTGAGTCTTAATGAGACTGATAAGTCTCATTCTTTTTAATTCCTTATTATTTAAGCTTCTTATTGTGATCCTGATCACTGCTATGGTTTGTTAACCCACACCTTTTCCTGACCCAGCCATGAAACTGAGCCCAGGCCCATCTCATGGGGATGCTCTCTCTGAGGCACAACTGCATGCGCACAGGGAACAATTCCTGTCCTCAAATGCACTTACAGGGGAGGCTCCAATGCAGGGAAGACCAGCATGTGGGAAGATGCTCAGCTTTTCACATGCAGAAGTCCTATCAACTGTAGAGTTAAGTAGTTTTTGAATATCATAGCTGAATATAGATTATGGAGCCCTCACTGCACAGTTACAAATAAAGGATCTTCAGCACAAATCTTCAAAATTTTCCTAAATCAGTTTACAAAGGAAACAATTCTATGTGTGGCCCGCAGGCAAGGATTTCCTCAGTTTAGCAATAAGTTACTGAATAATCTCTGTATTTACATTGGCTGTTCCCTCTCCCCCACCCCTATTTAAAAGCCTTTAGAAGATACCTGCCTAAGTCAGAGCAGAGTGCCAGAAGCACGCTGCTGGTGCACTGAAATTTGCTTTTATTTCTGACTGTTCAAACTGCGTCTGCAGGAAGCAGCTGGACAAAAATAACTCGAGGTGTATGAGGCATTTGGAAATGAACTGACATGTTGATTAGTAAATCCTGCAGCCTGTGCCAACTGGGGTTTGATTTTATTTTTATTTTCTTCTAATAGCATCTACAGTATTAATGAACTAAGTAGAAATTTCTCCCATTGTTAACCTTCTCCTTGCAGCTACACAGCACCACAGAGGAAGCTGCAGTTTATGGGGTGTCCGTACACAGCAGGACAGCCACAGCAGCTCCTGAAATGCTCTCACATCCAGAAGAGCTCCAGACTTCCAGCAGCAGCCACATCACCTCAGGCTATACCCACTTTTTAGCTGCACCCACTGCTGCACCAGGGGGGTGAGAGGGCAGATCTCCCTGTAAAAGCCAACCCAGTCCTCAGTGCCTGGTGTGGAGCTGTCCTGCTCCCATCACTGACTGAGGAACCTGAAGGAGTGGGGTGCAGCCTGCCAAGCTACAGCTATGAAATCATAAGGATGCTTCCCAGAGCATGCTACCATTATTCAATCCACTGTTCTGCTTTATAATGTAGGAACTCACATGTGAGGGGAATTATTTTTGGTGCCACGTGTGGTGCCAAAATGTTTAATGATTGCCTGGGTTCACCCACCCCACAGCTGTGGTTCAAGCCAGTGAAATTTAGGTTTTTTGTTTTATTTTTTGGGGTTTTTTTTGGTCACTCCTATCCTGTTCCCTCAGCCCTAAAAAGGCTGAGTACTAAAAGGAAATACACCTAGAAGAGTTTTTATTATCTTTTTTTTGCCTGAAAAATGTAATATGATTAAACCAGTAAATTATTACAGAAGCACATACCTGATTATAAAGCTGTTATGGGACAGTAAATGAAATAGCCTTTGGATCTTCTTTACAAGTTACCTGCAGGAGAATCAGCAGGGAATCAGCAATGACTGATACTTGGCCTTTGCTTGGCTTTCCAGGGCAGGTTTTGAGTGCCTGGCACTAGAGGGGCGAGTGCCTCCTTATCTAGGCTGCATTGGAGCCATATCAATTTTTAATTAGTTGATGTAAAAGCCTGGTTTCCTGTGAGGTTGTTATCTTGGCTTGAAAATGAATCAACACAAACTACATTTTAGTATAGCCTAGTGTACAAGAGCTGACAGTTTGCACTGCTGTAATTAGAGCCTTCTAGTGCTTCTCACCCTCTTGAAAGAGCAGTTCCTTTCAGGAGACATGCAATCTTCTGCACATAGCTCACATGGGCTCCAGAGTACTGTTCTTTCAAAGTCTGAAAAATAATCAGGAAATGTGGTTTTAAGCACGTGGCTGCACTACCTGGGAAATATATTAAGGGACCTGAACTCAACTCAAGCTATTAAAAGTCCTCATCATATTTATGGTGTTACTGGCCTGTGAGGAGACAGAAAACTGCACACTATGAATTTTTCTTATAATAATCTTTTGAAATTTTGGATTGTGAAGAATGCTGCTCCACAGGCACCTGGCTGCTATTTAATACAGGCACAGCCTCCTCTGCAGGCTTCTAAAGTGAATCTACACTTGGAAAAAATCTCAGGAGAGGAAGTCCTCATCTGTGATCAAAATTGTGAATGTCTGTACTGTGGGCAGCACAAACTGACAAATGCACACTTGTATATAGGAAAAACACATTAGCCAATATTTCTGCATGAGAGGCAGTCAGAGGCCTCAAATTTATAGCCAGGCATTAAATATAGAGAAGAGATTTCTTTCTCACCTGAAGGTATCTTGGACTGATTTACACCCTGCAGTATGAGCAATAGATTCTGCCTCATACTCTGTCATGTATCCCCCTCACTTATATCACTACAAAACACACGGTGCAGCTTTTGCCTGGTGGAGGGAGAAGCCATCCCACTGATTTGCTTTGAGCCTCAGCAAATCACACTTGAATTTTAGAGGAGAAAGGAATTTGATGCCTGTGCAAGATGATGCTTGTGGACATTTAGATACTTTTCCCTGCCTCCAAAGACAGAGAAGCCGCTGAATACAGCATCAGCTGCTCTGTTCAAAATGAATTCAGCATTAAGTCATGGCTGGAGAAATCCTCTGCTCACTGCTCTGGTTCTGCAGGGAGCATCCTGCACTGGGGGGGTTCATTCTCCTCCTCGGCAGATTCACAGCCCTGACCAGATCCCCTGGGCTCTACACAGGCACCCAGGGAGCTGATAGCACTGGGGACCACGGGAGAGCTGGGAAGGGGACAGCAGCACCATGGCTTGCTATTTCCACCAGGAATACATTACAGAATGGGAACAGCTCAGAGCTCCTGCTTCCACCTGGCAGCAGACATGACATGGTTCCCCTGGAATCGTGTGAGCAGCATTTCCCTGGCACAGCAGCGATGAAGACATTCTGAGTGCAGCTCTGTGACACCATGCATCCCTGTTAATGTCTGCTTTCCTGCACACACAACCCACCTTCTCTGCTCCCTCTGCCAACACACCTGAAGAATTGGCTCAACCTCAGAAACGGTGACCCACTGAGAGAACAGCCGAAAGCAATTCAGGGTTCTTTGTAATTTGAATTCAGTGGGTCATTCCTCTCACAGTCAAATGATGACATTTAATTTTCATGAGATTATGAAGTGCATGTTTGAATTGTGGGCACAGCGTAGTCAAAAACCAGGAAAGAAATCAATTTAATATTTTCTTCCTCCTTTAAATGTATTTAGGATAACACTCAGTTCATCAGCTGGGAGTTGTTCTGGTGAATTAAACAGAGAATAATAGATCCATGTATAGAGTGGCTACCAAAATTTGATCTGTGACACCAAATGGACAGAAAGGATACCTTCAACATGGAATATACATGCCATGAAAAAAGTAAAAGTAGCAAATAATAGGGATATCCTGCTAGCATCCTGGTCTTACCCAGAATATAAAATGAAATTAGTCTTCAGATGCTTGAAAGAAATGCATTTGCTTTTCCAAATGCATTCAAAATATTTTTGACATGCTTTTAAACCTGAATGTCTGTTAATACAAATGTGATGCTTCTTTCAGTTTAACAATATCAAGACACTCTCCTTGTACTTAGGCAACACTGTCTTAAGTGAGAGCTGTTGAAAATATGATAAACAATAGTATCAAGGAGAATTACCTAGTAAATAAAGTTTATTATTTATGTTTCAGAGGTTTTCAGTGTGACAGACTGCTTTATTTCTGTGCTTTGTTTCACTTTTCTGCTTTTCTTTTCAAGTGATGAAGAGAAAAAAACAAAATAAATAAATATAATGCAGCTGCCAAAGACTTTTTTAAAAAAGAAAACTGCCAGAATATTCTCATCTTTAAACAGACAGCATATACCACAGTAGGAAAATTCATAAATAAAAGAAACATGAGATGACATGTAAAGAAATTTGACAAATATCTTCCATCTCAAAGTGCTCTGAAACTCGATTTCTGCAAACATAGCTTTGATACCTTTGCAGTTGTAGTCTTTCCTCATAATTGTATTTGACAGAAATTCCTTTAGAAGTCAAAATGAACCTATTACTAAGCACATTTTCCTACAAGGGGGACAATAAAGCAGCTTTTACTAAACTATTCTCTTTTTTCTGCATATTTTCACTGAAGTGTCTCTCTTTCTACATTTGCACAAGTATTCATAGCCTGCCTTTGCTGTGCCATTTGGTCCCTGCCTGCTGCAGAAGGGAGGATTCTGCATTTCCACTGCTGGAGCCTCTCCAGCTCTCAGTGCTCAGAGAACAAACACCAACACACCCACCCCGAGCCTGAAATGCTTCCTTGGGCATTATCCCCACACACTGCAGCTCACAGCCAGGGGAATCCTTACAGGTAACTCTGAGCTTGTTCTTGTTTGGGCTCCATCTTCCCTGCCTTGAAAACCTGGGCATTGTACGTTTGTTATGGTCTGGAAGAGGCTGCAGACCCATCATTAAAGATTCATTCTAGAAAAGCTTCAAAGGGAAGCAAAACTTCCCTGGCTTTTCTTTTCCCTAGCTGCACCAGCTCTCCTGATGGAATTTGAGAGAGGTTAGTTTATTCTGCTTTTGGATGCTCTGCCTACCAGTTCTTTGATTCTCTGCAACATATTTGCAGTCATAAAATGTTTGAAATCTGCCTCCAGCCAGAATCTGCCAAGGTTTCCCCAGGTGACTTTTCCTCCCCCATTTAGTTGATATATACCAAACACCACTGCAAATGCACAGAAACACACACACCAAAAAAAAACCCCAAACAAACCCCACACAAAAAAATCAAAGCAAAAATCCAAACCAAAGCAACAACCACAAAAAAACCCCAACCAACCAAACCCATCCTACATTTTTTGTCACTACAGTGTTTAAATGACAACACTCATCTCCAAAATGTGACATCAAATGGGTTTTTCCCCTTTTAAAATTAATGCTTTCCCTTATGTGCATATAAACCACAGAATATAAACATACTACAAGCTTTTCCTGGGTCTTTCTTAAAATTAGTGCTACCAAATCAAAGTTAAAGTTTGTTAGCAGCCATTGAAAGTACATGCATGAACAGCAATTTTAGCATGAATTGTAAGTATGAATTGCAAATCACCCATAAACAGGAAAATTTGAAAGTGAAATAGAATGCAGTAAGATTTAATTAAGAGCAAATTAAAGCATTGCCACCACTTTTAATACAACTCCTTGCTACCACTTTCTGTAGAAAAACAACTTCACTGCCAAACTACTGAAATAATCCAACTATTGAGGAGACACATAGAGGCAAACATTACTGTGTTTTTAACTTTTCTGTGCATGGTCTTTAATTTTTTTCCCGTTCCTCTTCTCTGTTTCCTGATTTTGCTTTCCCTGCTCTCGAAGATTCTCTCGTGCAATTTTTCCCAGCAGGAACTAAGTGCAGTCCTGGGGCTGGAGAGCTTCCCAGGAGGAGTGGTGGGGGGAGGAGGAACTTCTGCTGTGCAAACTGAAGCTGTAGATCTCCAGGAGTTTCAGCAAGCCCAGCAGTCTCTCTCTGCAGCCTGGCATGTAACCTCTACACATTCCTGAGCTGCAGTATTTCACTTACATTCCTATGGAAAAAAAACCCCACCAATCCAAGTTTTCTGGAAAGCTATCACTTCTTGGGAAAAGTAACATTTTCACTTTCAAAAGTAACATTTGGCCACTCCAAATGTTTAGAGGATTTCAGTGAGTGTCTGTACAACCCCACTGGACTAAGAGGATGCTAAAAGCACAAGTGACTGAAACCCCATCCCTGGGGCTTCAATGTGCACATGCTTTGAAAAATTCAGTCAAGTCTTTGAGGCTCTGTTTCCTGGGTGCAGGGGTTCTATTTTCTGTGTGGTGAGTGGTACAAGTCTGATTAAAAAATTCATTAGCACCACAGCAATTTCTAATTAACTACTGAAAGATAAACTTTGAACAGGAAATAATTCAGACAAGTAACCTAAAGTCCATCCTGGTTTTCAGAAGCGTTCAGTCTCTTCTTTGATTTGATGACTAACTGGAAAGGAAATATTATTCTTCAGCAGTGTGACTAAGTGATTTCCTACTGAATGAAGCAGAAGAGGCACTCATTCATATCCATTCTAGTTATGGTCCTGATAGCAAGAGCAGTTCCTCCCCAGCTTGCCATCTCCATAGGAAAGTACATAGAGCATCCATATGGTAATCTCTCCAGTGTGCAACATCACTGGTGAACCATTAAAAAGCTAAGAAAACACACAAATTGAGTCTTTTTATTGTTATTTTCAGTTTCCCCAAAAGCTACTGTAGTGGACAGAACTTAATACCACTATGTCTTTTTTTAAAGTGTGCTACATGTTAGAGATCCCAAGAAACAAACATTTCTTCCTTGGACCTTCATTTTGCCACACTGTTAATTATGCAAATCTATGGAAGACGCTGCTCAGGCTTCTGTTCAGTCAATAACTGCATTTAAACATTTAAAATGTCTAATAAAACAATCACCTTGAACTGCTGAAGTGCAGTAGCCAGGTTAAAAATTAATTAAAAATAGTTTTTTTTCCCTAACTGAAACTCCCACAGAGGACATTCGAAATCTGAATTCCAAGAACATTAATTTGGGATAATTTTTGCTGGATATCCACGGAAATATGCTTTTAAAACACACATGTAATGTCACTGTGGTTTAGTACATCTGTTCTTTGTGGTCCAAAAACCCCAAAATTATTTAAATTATCCTGCTGAAAGCCCAGGTGCTGTGCAGCTCACACCACTGCCTGGAGTTTGCATGCAGTTTCACCAGATGACACAAACTGCAGAGCCTGGGGCAC